TGTCTCTACTAAAAATATAAAAATTAGCTGGGCATGGTGGTGGGCGCCGGTAAGCCTAGCTACTCGGGAGGCTGAGGCAGGAAAATCGCTTGAACCCGGGTGGCAGAGGTTGCAGTGAGCTGAGATCGCGCCATTGCACTCCAGCCTGGGTGACAGAGTGAGACCATCTCAAATAAAAAAAAGAAAAAAGCTAAAAATGATTTAATTTTGTTTTCATAATGGGAGAACAGAAGTATGCTTGTGTGCTAATGAAAATGATCCAGTTGTGAGGGAGAATTCGATGATGTTGAAAGCAGAGAAGATATTATAGGAATGAAGTCCTCCACCAAAAATACGAAAAAAAATTAGCTGGGCGTGGTGGCACATGATTGAAATCCCAGCTACTCAGGAGGCTAAGGCAGGAGATTTGCTTGAAACTGGGAGGCAGAAATTGCAGTGAGCTGCACTCTCACCTAAGTGACAGAGCAAGACTCCGTCTCAGGGAAAATAAATAAACAAATAAATAAGTAAAGTGGTAGAGAGTTGGTTTGTTTCACAACACTAATATATTTTGGAAAAGAAAAAGAATGTTTAAAGGCAAATCATCTCTCATTCTCTTTCTTCATTCACAGAGCCAGAAAGGTGGTATTTCTGGCATGGGCTAGAGGCAGAATACTCTATAAATACAAGGCCATTACATCCCATGCAGTGGGAATGTGATCAGGGTCTCCTTTTAATTTCCTGACATGAGCTGGCCACTAACACAATTACCCAGAATCCCTGGAGGAGCCCTCCACCTTCCCAACAAGCACAAAGCAAGTGAGAGCATATTGCATGGATGTCAGCCCAGCTTTCACTGAAATCAAATATCTTTTAGAAAACACTTGGGGAAAGGCAGACAGGGGCTGAGCAGAGGAGAAATGGAGCGGACTTGGGAGGCTGGTGGCACAAGGGGGTGAGGTGAGGTGAGGAGGAGGTGAAGTTGGGAGGGACAGGCTGTCTAGAGAGAATTGCTGAAATCCCAGAGCTGTACCGAGGACTTGGGGAACACCCTAGGAAATGCAGCAAGTGGTTTTCCAGGGCTCTTCTGGATTAGCGGTAGAGTCAGTCCACACCCTAGGCAGACTGCAAAGGCTGACTACCAGAGGAACTGCCCATCCTAATTCTAGAACCCACAGTGGGGACCAGCCCAAGACAAGGCTGCCTTTTAAGATTCCCGCCAACAAATCCAGGAAGAAAATCAGGGTGGCCAGACACTAGTCTGCCTCCCCAAATACAAGGGGTAGACTGATGAAAAGCTGAGTGTAAATGAGGGTGTCTTTGAATCAAACACCATAATTTTTTTTTTTTTTTGAGACAGTCTTGCTTTGTTGCCAAGGCTGGAGTGCAGTGGTGTAATCTCAGCTCAATGCAACCTCTGCTTCCCAGGTTCAAGTAATGCTCCTGCCTCGGTCTCCCGAGTAGCTGGGATTACATGAGTGTGCCATCATGCCCAGCTAATTTTTGTATTTTTAGTAGAGATGGGGTTTTGCTATGTTGGCCAGGCTGGTCTTGAACTCCTGACCTCAGGTGATCTGCCCACCTTGGCCTCCCCAAGTGCTGGGATTACGGGCATGAGCCACTGTGCCCAGCCTGAATCAAACACTAGAGTATTTTAATGCACCCAGGGAGCTGTCGTTGCAAAGTAATCCCACAGTGGATTCTGCCAAGAGGAGCTGTCCCATCTGTCCCAGATCCCCACTTTTACCTGGTGACGGAGAGCAGGTATCCACATCCCCACTTTACAGTGAAGAAATTGAAGCATGTGGGTGTGAGGAATAAAATTACACAACAAAAATACCTAACAACCAGGGGCAGAACACAGGCCACCAACTCCGAATCCAGATTTTGTATTCAATTTTCAAAAGAGAAAAATTACTTTTTTCTGTGAAAAGACAGATTTTTATATAATGGGTTTGCTTAAATCGAGATAAGCCTTTGGACATCTCCTGCTTTTTATGGTCTGCTCTGGATGTCCCTGGGAGAAAGGCACAGGGAGGTGGCCATGGAATCTGTCCCCAACCATGTGAGGAATCTAAAAAGCTTAGATCCCTGAGCTGGCTGCAGCCATAAGGGAGAGGGAGAGCCAGAGGAAGCCCCAAGTCTGATCTCTTCTGTGGCTGTTGCTGGGCCCCCAAATTGGGAAAAAAAATCTCTGATTATTCTACCTAAGTAAGGAAAAATCATAAAACACAAGGAGAGTATGTCTGGATAGAGGGGAAGGTGGTGTTCAGACGCGCAGGCGAGGGGGGCGGAGAGGGCGGAGGTACCCACATCTCTCCCTCCTCAGCCACCCCCAAGCCCCTGGCCCCCTGCCACCCCTCCCCCAGCAACAGGGGCCCACAGAGGGACCCTACAAAGGAGGAGCAGCCTGGGGAAGGTGAAGTTTGCCTTTTAGAGTCCCATCAGAGTCTGAGGTGGGTGAGGAGCCCACGCTGGTCTGGGTCGGGGGGGCCTTGCCTGCAGAGCCAGGAGGGACACTCAAACAAAAGCCAAGCTGGACAGCTGCCAAGAACCCCCCTGCCTGGCAGGAGCCCAGGCTGTTGAAGGAGGCGTGCTCCTGCTCAGGGGGTGGGCCCCCCAGAGCTTCAGATCCCAGGATCTCGCCAAGGCCCTGTGGGGGACAGAAACTAACCAAGGCTCTCTGCTTTGTCTCGGGAGCCTTTGTGTCATCTCCGCCCTCTTGGATCTGGACCTGTCGGCACTGGTGGGGAGCAGGGGAGGAAGCATTCCAGTGGCTGTCCCTTCCCCCTTCAGGCACAGCTCCTTAAAGGGCCTTTTCAGGCTCAGCATGTCTGCCTGGGAGGCCCCAGCTGCCACCCTAGGTAAAGGCCATCCACCAAAGGGCTATCTGCAGTGGGGGAGGGGGGCAGAGTGTCAACACCAAGGCTCCCCATGCACGTCCTCCCCGCTTGAGGCAGTGGGGGTCTCATGCCCCTGTCTTTCCAGCACCCCCATACCATCATCCTGGGGCACACAGCCTCTACCTCGGTTCTTTGACAAGTGCAAGTCTGGATATCTGAGCAGCCACCAGTCAACTGTGGGCCCGGCCACCTCCTTCCCTGCCATCAGTGCACCTCCTCAGCATCCCCTGCTTTCTGGGAAGCCACTAGAAAGTGCCCTCCTGTCTTCCAAGCACTGTGTAGGCCATAACGAGACTCTGTTCAGTGTTTACAAGATGGTCCAGGAATTGAGCAGTGGTCCCCTCTCGCCCTCTCTCATCCCTGCCCTGTGCCATGGGGGGCACTGAACAGGGCAAGGGAGGTTCCAGCCTCTGGGCCCAGCTTCCCTCAAATCAATGTGTGACTGAGGGTGGGAGTCATCTCACCCCAACTCCTGCAGGGCCACATTTTGTCAACTGTGAAATTCCAGGCTATGTAGAAAACAGTAAGGCTTCTGGCTGCTCTAAGTGCCCTGAATGCTGTCAAGTAGGCAGGGAGGAGGCTGCATGCTGCCACCAAGTAGTTCTCGGCCCCCTGCTTGACCTGCTGTTCTCACATCCAACTTTCTCTCTGGATGTCAGAATAGGAGGTCAGGCTAAGTGCAGTGGCTCAAGCCTGTAATCCCAGCACTTTCGGAGGCCGAGGCAGGTAGATCACAAGGCCAGGAGGAGTTCAAGACCAGTCTGGCCAACACACTAAACCCCATCTCTACTAAAAATACAGAAAGTTAGCCGAGTTGTGGTGGTGTGCGCCTGTAATCCCAGCACTTCAGGAGGCTGAGGTGTGGGACTGCCTGAACCTAGGAGTTTGAGACCAACCTGAACAACATAGCAAGACTTTGTCTCTATTTATAATATTTTAATATTAAAAAATGGAGTAAATCAATAGAGAAGGTAAGGAAGAGGAGGAGACCTGGAGCAGTTGTCCCAATAATGAGAGCCACGTGTCATTTCAAATTTTCTAGTAGCCACATTAAACAAGATGAAAAGAAGTATGTGATGTTAATTTCACAATACATTTTATTTAATTCAACATGTCCAGAAGATTCGCCTTTCTGCATGCAGTCAAGTTTTTTGTTTGTTTTTGAGATGGAGTTTCACTCACTGCCCAGGCTGGAGTGCAATGGCGCAATCCCAGATCACAGCAACCTCTGCCTCCCCGGTTCAAGTGATTCTCCTGCCTCAGCCTCCTGAGTAGCTGGGATTATAGGCATGTGCCACCATGCCCAGCTAATTTTGAATTTTTAGTAGAGATGGGGTTTCTGCATGTTGGTCAGGCTGATCTCAAATTCCCGACCTCACGTGATCCACGCACCTTGGCCTCCCAAAGTGCTGGGATTACAGGCATGAGGCACCATATCCAGCCACAATCAAGTTTTTAAAATTATCACCACCAGACTTTGCACTGCTTTTTATGGTCCTATGAAGTCTCTACAGCGGGCGTGTGTTTTACACTCGGCACACCTGTCAGTTTGGACCAGTGCTCAGGAGTCACGTGTGGCTTGTGGCTGTCATATCAGACAGCACAGCTCTAGAGACAGAGGACACAGGGAGATAAAGGAGAGGCAAGGGAGAGGATAGGAAGAGAGGGAACAAGGAATGGAGCAGCATTCCCAAGGCGAGAGCCATGTCCCGTCCACCCGCCAGAAAACAAATGCCGTTCTCCACAGGTGAAGGGAATATTATTTACCATTCCCAGCTAATGTGTCTGTCCTTTTCACCCCGAAGCCCTCAGGGTGCTGGGGATATGACACCCTCCTAGGGTGCAGAGGGGGTTTGCACCCAAAGGAGGGCCTTCCCAGAGCACCAGGCCAACTGTCTGCGGCCCAGGTGGAGTCAGGGGTTCTGAAGCATCCTTAATGGAGAAATTCAAATTCCCACCTCCCTAAAGGAGGAGAGCCATGCGGGCGCCATGGCTGGAAGTGGGCTGGCAGGTTGTGGGAGGAGACAGGCACCGACTGGGACGCAGGTCCACAGCTTGTGGTTGTCTCACAGGGGATGAAAACTCCCCAGCAAAGCCCACCTTGGTGGGGCCTCTTACCTTCCTTCAGCATCCCCACTTTGAGGCATTTCATGAAGCGGCAGGCCTGGCAGGACTTGCGCCTCCGTTTGGTGATCTCGCACTCGTTGGTGGCCGGGCAGCTGTACTCGATGTTCCCTGCAACCAGACACAGACAGGTTTCTGGGTGCTGGCGCCCAGGGCCCCCACCTGCCCTCGAAGGGCTGGATGGACGGGGATTTTAATTTATTCAAAGCCAGAGCTACCACTCCCCCCACCCCGAGGCTCCCACCCGGCATCATTCTCAAAGCAGGTGCTGTGAGGTGCTTGTTGGAAGGTGTCGAACTCTCTTCCATGTGGAGACTCCAGGTCGCAGGTCTGCGTGGACCATGCAACCACTTGGGGAAACACTTTCCAGAGGATGGGGCCATCCACAGTGTCGAAGCCACCCTGGCAGGGGACATTGAAACTCACTGAGCTGGCATTTTACTCCAGGAGAACGCCCCCTGTGCTGACCTCCATCACCATTGCCAGCACCACCGGCTCCTCCAGCCTCCAGTCTGGGAACCCCCGTGTGCAGGAAGAGCCTCTTGGAAACTCTGTGTCCACCAGGATTAAGGCCCATGTTCTGCATCCCACTGGAGAGGTCCAGGCCACCTGGCTTTGCTGACCTTGAGGATATACTTTCCTTTCACCAAGGTGAAATTTCCTCATCTTCAAAACAGTGGGATAATCTACTAAATGAAGGATTAATCAAGACCACCTATGGACAACTGCTTTAAACACTATTCAACATGAGGGGGTCATTTTATAAGCACAGTTCATTCAGCAGAGGGAATCTGGGATGAAGTGCTCAGGCCACTCCTTTCATGGGTTATAAGAATGGCTAACAAGCTGGACGCGGTGGTTCATGCCTGTTATTCCAGCACTTTGGGAGGCTGACACAGGTGGATAACCTGAGGTCAGGAGTTTGAGACCGGCCTGACCAATATGGTGAAACCCTGTATCTACTACAAATACAAAAACATTAGCCAGGTGTGGTGGCATGCACCTGCAATCCCAGCTACTCAGGAGGCTGAGACAGGAGAATTGCTTGAACCCGGGAGGTGGAGGTTGCAGTAAGCCGAGATCGCTCCACTACACTCCAGCCTGGGCGACAGAGCGGGACTCCATTTAAAAAAAAAAAAAATGGCTACCATAATTCCAAACCCTGCTCCTTTAAGCTATAGGCCCCACAAAGCCAAGACCCCACTGGGCTGCTCCCCAGTGCCGAGTAGCACTTAGCACAGCCCCCACCATATAGAGACGGACAGGTAGAAGGCAGTGAGTGACTGATCTACAGAGTCCTTCCCAGTGGCAATTCCATGAAAGAGAAAATAGGTACTAACACTACTCCCATTTTACAGATGAGAAATCTGAGTTTTCCAGGTGTTTCTATGCAGTGTGAACACAGAGGTCTTATTTAGTTTAAACTGACCTCCCAGGTTCTTCCTGGGAGGGTTGACAGTCCAGTCAGGAGAGGCTGTGGCTGCCTTTCTAATACAGGCGTCTGCCCTGGGTACTGTGACCAGCTGACTCTTACTAACGAATACACTTTGAGCACCTAGGATGTGCCTGGCGATGGAGGGAATGGCAGTCGGGGGAGGGCTGGTGGAAGAGGTAAAGAAATGCAACTGGAAGGTACAAATGAAGAACAGCACACCACAGTTCAGCTTTGTTATTATGTCTTCAGCTCCTGTCCCAAAGTCACCAAGGTCAGCTTGAGCCCGGGGTTTCACAGAACAGAATCTCTGAACTAGAATGCAGCTCGTTCCCACCTCTTGAGGGAGCAGGGAGGAGCTGGAGGCCTGCCTATCTGCATCCTGCACACCCAACCCTACCCACTTCAGAGAATAGCAGCTAAGATTTATTGTGCACCTACTGTGTGCATAACTGGCACCAGCTCCCTCAGTCCTCACAACAGCCTCTGAAGGCACATCAGTGTCCCATTTCACAGACCAATAAACTGAGGCTCTGGGAGCTGAAGCAAGTTACCCAAGGCCACACGGAGCTCCTGTCCCACCCTGCATCTCACAAGGGGCATGGAGAAATGGGAAGTGTTGCCCCCAAGGACAGGCGCCTGTTGCTGACCCAGCAGCTGAGGTCACCTGGTGGGCAGTAGGGGAGGAAAGTGGCCTTGGGCTTCCCTGTGCCACCACCTCCCCACATGGGACATGGATGGAAATTTTTTCTACTGAATTTTCTAGAAACAAGCATGAACCATGTTCTACCATTAACAAAGTGCTTTGAAGTAGCAAAATTACTCAGTGCCTAACTGTACTGAGTACTCCCAATGGCTCCATGGGTAATCTCATGCCTTTGTACCAGTGAGGAAAACTGATTTCCAGAGCCCCTCAGAAATCCACAGGTGAGGACTGGCTATCCTCCCTCCCTCCCTCCCTCCCTCCCTCCCTCTCTCCCTCCCTCTCTCTCTCTCCCCCCCACTTCCTCCCTCTCTCTCTCCCCCCACTTCCTGCCTCTCCCCCTCCCTTTCTCTCTCCCCCTACTTCTTCCCTCTCCCCCCTCCTTTTCTCTCTTCCCCCTTCCTCTCTCCCCCCTCCCCCATTCCTCCCTCTCCCTCCCTCCCTCCCTCTCCCCTTTTATCTCTCCCCCTTCCTCCCCCTCCCTCCCTCTCTCTCTCTCCCCCCCTTCTACCCTCTCCCCCCCTCTCTCAAGTCCAGCTGGCACCACCTTTCTCCCCATCCCATTTCTAGCAGGGAGGGGCTGGAAGTTGTGCTCTGTGCTGGAGGGACGGGAGGGGATGGGGAGGGGAAGGGATGAAGATTCTGTGTACCTCTCCTCACTTTTATCTAGCTCTAACCATGTCTTAGAGCATTCTGACTTGGATGGCTTCTTGGGAAATAATTTTAATATTCACATAAGACCACTAAAATTCAAAAGACAAACAGAAGGGAGGAAAACACATCTAAAAACTAATTCATCCAAGCCTTTATCTTGGCTTAGAAGGCGCTGGAGGATTGGGCCCTGTACCCACCCAGCCACTCAATGCACATAAACCAGGAATGTTTGTTTGGGAGCAGCCACGGTTCTGCTTTACAGATCCTGAGGCTTTCTTGTTCCCAGCAACCCGGGAGGTAAACAAATTTTTCTCTATCTTACAGTTGAGATGAGCAGAGGGGCAGGGCACAGTGGCACATGCCTGTAATCCCAGCACTGGCTCACGCCTATAATCCCAGCACTTTGGAAGATCTGGCTGCTCTTCCAAAGACCTCATCCATTTCCTGAGGTCAGGAGTTCAAGACCAGCCTGGCCAACATGGTGAAACTCTGTCTCTATTAAAAATACAAAACTGTTATCCCAGCTGCTCAGGAGGCTGAGGCAGAAGGATCACTTGAACCCAGGAGGCGGAGGTTGTAATGATCAGAGATTGCACCACTGCACTCCAGCCTGGGCAACAGAGCAAGACACCATCTCAAAAAAAAAGGGGGGGGCGGGGAGCAGAATCCAGGGTATGGGACAGCAAGGACTGGGACTCAGCCTGTCAGCTCCAGCCTGCTCTGAGCCACTGCAAGGAGTTCACAGGGCCCGCCATGGGCTTCACAGCTCATGCTGCCTGCAATAGCAGGCTCCCACCAGCAAGTTTCCCATGCCTTGCTGTCAGCTCCTCAGCTAACCTGTCACCTTTTGGGGAAGGATAGGCTACTGGCTGCTGCTCAGAGCAAGAGGGTCACGACGTATGTGTGTGGAGCTGGTACTGGTACTGTCCCAGGACAAGAGGACCAAGTGCTAATGGCAAGTCCCAGCCAGGCTCTTCACCCTTTAGGGGCCGTTCTGCAAGTGTGTGTGTATCAGACAGAGTGAGACCTAATTATTTATTTATTTTGGTTCCTTTCAATTTGTTTTATGGTCCCAGCGGCTGGCTGCCAGCAAAGCCAAGCTGGCAGCCTTACTCTGTAATTTTTTTAAGTGCCTCCTCAATAAAGTGATGAGATTAATTCATCAGAATTCCTGTGGTCTCTTGAGGCGGGCCTAGGAGCATGCAGGAACAGGGAGAGGACATTGGTGACATGCACACGTACAGCTGAGGTGTGGCAGTTTTGGGGACGAGTTCTCTCAGGACAGGGACATAGCCAATGGTTAGATTCCAGGTTCAAATCTGGGAGTGTATTCTGTAGAGACAGGTGCAGACTCCACTTTGGACACATCACCTAACATCTCTGAGCCTCAGTTTCCTCATCTGTAAAATGGGTACAGTTCCCATCTCATAAAGTTCCTATCTAAAAGTTCTCCAGATTCAGGCCAGGTGCAGTGGCTCATGCACGTAATCCCATCACTTTGGGTGGCCGAGGCAGGAGGATCACTTGAGGTCAGGAGTTCCAGACCAGCCTGGCCAACATGGTGAAACCCCATCCCTATTAAAAGTAGAAAAATTTAGCCTGGCACGGTGGTGCATGCCTGTAGTCCCGCTACTCAGGAGGCTGAGGTGGGAGGACTGCTTGAGTCCAGGAGTTCTGGGCTACAGTGCGCTATGCCGATTGGGTGCCCACACTAAGTTTGGCATCAATATGGTGACCTCCCAGGAGTAGGGGACCACCAGGTTGCCTAAGGAGGGGTGAACCGGCCCAGGTTGGAAACAGAGCAGGTCAAAACTCCCGTGCTGATCAGTAGTGGGATCATGCCTGTGAATAGCCACTGTACTCCAGCCTGGGCAACATAGCAAGACCCCATCTCTAAAAAAATAACAATAAAAAGAAAAAATTAGCCAGGCATGGTGGCGCATGCCTATAATCCCAGCTACTCAGGAGGCTGAGGCAGGAGAATCACTTGAACCCAGGAGGCAGAGGTTACAGTGAGCCCAGATCATGCCATTGCACTACAGCCTAGGTGACAGAGTGAGACTCCGTCTCAAAAATAAATAACAAAAAATAAAAGTTCCTTGGATTCAGTGACAGAAAGTATATGAATGTCTTAGCGAAGTTCAGGCACTGGCAAGCAGGCCACCGTGGCTGCTCTGCTTATTTTTATATTCAGGCAGATCTTACAGCAGGAGTGCCCAATCTTTTGGCTTCCCAGGGCCACATTGGAAGAAGAATTGTCTTGGGTCACACATAAAATACATTAACAATAGCTGATGAGCTAAAAAAAAAAAAAAAAAATGC